TATAAAATGCCTTTTCATTCAACAATGTGGAAAATTATCTTCAGTATGTTTAATTCTCCTTACTTGATTTCATCAGAGAAATTTTCTCACATTACACTGAACAGAGATTTCTGCTGCAGGGAGCAGTGAAAGAGCTAAGCACTAAATAAATTATTCTGGCTTCAGGATCCTAGGGAAAAAAATCAGGGAAAAAAAATCCTACAATCTTTGGCCAGTATCTTAAATAATGGGTAACAGCACCAATCTAAAATCTGTAGTCTCTAGTTAAGGCACAGACTTCAGCCTTCACAGCAGTGAAGTTTCTCAGTACAGACACTTGAATTGAGGTGATGTTGGTGCTCCAGTCCAAGCCAGCAAACAGCAGGATTGTATTCACAATGTACATAGGCTGTGGGGTGGGCATCCACACCATCTGAGGATGGGGCAAGTGTTCAAGAGACAAATCACACCACTCTGCACCTCTGCAGATGGAAACATTCATTTCTATTGGCACCAGTGCTTCAGCCCGGCCTGTGATGTGCCAATTCATGCTTTTAACTCCACCTGTCCTCCTCCTGTCCCCTTGCCAGCCTCTCACAGGAGGCTGGCACCTCAGCCATGGCCCCAGCTCCTGTTAACCTGACTACTGCAACAGCTGCCAGTGCACAAGGCCAGTGACATGTTTTTTAGAAGCTGTTCTGCTTTTCTGAAACAGATGTACATTTTAAGTAAAAAATAAAATAATCTACTTGGTAAGTGAGCTTTCAGCTAATTGTTATGCAGGACACAGTCTACAGAAAGATGGTAAAAAAAATGGTAGTGCTGTTTTTTCCCTCAAGGCAACATCTGCACTGTGAAGTTTGAGTACAGATTCTTACTTGACAGAGATGTCATTACATTCTTTTTTGAACTTTCTCTAGTTCTTGTCTGTACAGGTATTTAAAAAGCAACTAAATACTCAACAGTCTTCCAGTTCTTTTCCAAACAGGACATCTGATCTGGGATTGTGATAAAATATGATAAAATGCACTTATTCTTGGCCCTTGTATTTCTTCCAGGCATGGTTGTTCTTAATTTAACAGTAACAAAATATTAAACATTTTCTGAAAAACAGCATTTCTCTCAAAGCCTACAGTGGCACAGAAGAGTAAGATGTAGTATGCAGAATGCATTCAAATGCCTTTCTCAGTGGTTATGTGCTTAATTTTCTATGTATCCATCAAAATTAAGGATACCAAAATAAAGGATTTTGCAATGAAGCTAAAATTCTCTACAGTTTTGTACTAATTAAAATATCTTTACGTAGTGTAACTAGATGTGCTTATTTTTTTCCAGTAGGATGAAGAAGTGGTATTTTTGTATGCATTTTGAGTATTACTGTTCTGTCTTTGCATGTCAGATATCAAATTTGGAGATGTATTTTAAGTTTTTTTACACTTTTAAAAAGCTGCATTTGAAAAGTAATTGTACCCATTAACTAGAAAATAAAGTTGTGCGTACTGAAAATGTGCTCCTTGTGTCTGTATGTTTGGGGGTTTCTTCTTTAGTTTTGGGTTTTTTAAGTCTTCTCTTTGTGAATTCCTATTATGTGGAGATAAAGCATATTATGAAGGGATCAGTGTCACTCTTCCCTTGGGTCTGTTCTGAGGATCAACAAGGACAAAAGGGGAAACCTGTTCCCTCTGCCTTGTGCGGGTAAGACAAGAAATGCTAGACTTTAATGGCAGCCTTTAAATGTTAAGGCTATAAAGATAATGAGAGACATTGTTTGTAGGGCCAGAAGATCCCAACCTGGGAGGCTTTTAGTGAGACAATCACCCCTGTGAAGTACATGGAGTAGAGTTACCCGTACTTTAGGGTTGTGGAAGGACTGCTCGAGGCCATTTGCTACTTAAAACTTATGACTTCGTTGTATCTTTACTTCTTTCCTTTCTTCAGTGCTATTCTTCAGCATCGCACTGAATTACACCGGAATTACAAAATGCTAAATTTAAGTCCTCTCCTGAGCTAGTGAACTCTATAGCTGTGAAGCTTCTGGAGATTCACTGTTCCATCACTTGTACAGGGTGTCAGCAATATGCCATTTCCATGCAATGTGCCATTTCCATGCCACAACTTGAGGCGGACCAGCAGCAGCCGAGAGCGCGATGCCGCTCGCACCTTCCCAGTGTCTGAGGCCCGCACCGCACAGGGGGCCGG